CGAGACCTACTCCGGCTACATGTCCGCTGGCCTTCCCCTCGCCTACATCTTCGCCGAGACCCCCGAGGAGCGTGAGGAACTTGGCGCCGCCCTGAAGCCCATCGCTGAGAAGTACCGCGGCAAGATCAACTTCGCTACCATCGACGCCAAGGCGTTCGGTGCTCACGCCGGCAACCTCAACCTCGCCACCGACAAGTTCCCCTCTTTCGCCATCCAGGAGACCGTCAAGAACCAGAAGTTCCCCTTTGACCAGGAGAAGAAGATCACCCACGATGACATCGCCAAGTTCGTTGAGGAGTTCTCTTCCGGCAAGATGGAGCCCAGCATCAAGTCCGAGCCCATCCCTGAGTCCAACGACGGTCCCGTCACTGTTGTCGTTGCCAAGAACTACGAGCAGGTTGTCCTTGATGACAAGAAGGATGTCCTGATTGAGTTCTACGCCCCCTGGTGCGGTCACTGCAAGGCTCTGGCCCCCAAGTACGAGGAGCTTGGTGAGCTGTACCAGAAGTCTGAGTTCAAGGACAAGGTCGTCATCGCCAAGGTTGACGCTACCGCCAACGACGTTCCCGATGAGATTCAGGGCTTCCCCACCATCAAGCTCTACCCCGCAGGCAACAAGGATGCCGCCGTCACCTACTCCGGCTCCCGCTCCATTGAGGACCTGATCGAGTTCGTCAAGGAGAACGGAAAGTACAAGGCCGAGGTCTCCGTCAAGGAGGAGGGCGCCGAGGAGAGCCAGGCCGCCCCTGCTGCCACCGAGAAGGAGGCTGAGAAGGCCAAGGAGACCGAGAAGGCCAAGGAGGATGCTCACGACGAGTTGTAAAAGAATTCTGGGTTCACTATGAAATGACACTTTGGGACGTCCCATGGGATAGGGACTATATACCTCTTGCGCGTTAGGTCGACTCTTTGCATTATGGTCTGCGGGTAAATTAACGTTATGAAATTCGAGCACATGTCTAAAGTTTTTCCTTTCCACTGCGTGAACCGTGATCTGGAGCCTTGATACTCTCTACTTGATTTGTTGACGTTCTGTGAATTAATCTGTTTGTCCATTGACTTCGACTGGGGAACCACAGCGCGACATGATCCAAGACCGCGAGGCACGCATCACAATAACCTAAAACTCGTTCAAAGGTAGCTAAGTGCCAAGCAACTCCGCCCTACTCCTTGGATGTGTTGGTTTATAGGCTCCCCAGCATAGTCGTCTTCCACGCCGCAACTTCCGATGTTACCTTACGCTTGGCAATCATTAAGGTATCTCCATTTAGCAATACCCTATCATTCTCTTCTCTTTTGAAGATTTACCCTATCACCAAAATTGACGCCCATTGACAATCAAAGTGATAGATAGTTGTCACTCAGAGGGAACTAGCAGTTCAATATTTCCTGCAACAAAATAACTCCCTCCGCTGAACTTCCTCACCCTTTTTCTCGGCATTGTGTTGAAGAGCGTTATTTTACATAGATTTGACAGTTGGTTGGTTGACGAAATGGAGACTTTGAGCCATGGTGAGCATACTGCTACCAAAATTTTCCCCGTGTCCCAGTCTCTTCTCCTGGGTTTTGGTTAAACATCATGAGAGCTTCTGGGAGACTGGGAACGATGTATGCCTTAGATAGTTGTAGTAGCGTTGTCGCTACGCCTTCAAAAAAAGATTAAATTTCTTTCTTTTGAAGAGGAGCTACGTCGGGGCTCCGTGTTCTAGATGCGAAGCGGAAGCGGCTCTGGGAGGGTGTATGACTTGAGTGTTGTACATACTCTAATGTCCCGTAACGTCAATCTGTGGCTCATCAAATTGATGTGGGTTATCCTTTCAAGTATCTTAATGCGATGCGAGGAGATTCTCTGTATTGCTATATATGTGGCAGGCTTGGGACTACACGAGAAGTCTCTCTCACCCTCTAGGCTTCGATCTCTGGTACATTTACAAGTTGAAAGAAGTTGATCGGTTTGCTGAGTACTTACTTCTTGGGATTAAAGAGTCAGGCAGAGGGACACGGCAAGTTCGATTTATCAAGTATTCTCTGCATGAACTCTTATCAGAGCACTTTGAGTCGTGTTTTCGTCGTCAGTCTTTTCATCAGCAAGCCGGATGATTTATTAGTCAAGAAACGGATACAAGAGCAGGTCAGAAAGAAACTGGAACTGCAGGTCTGATGCCTCGAGCTGCGCCAGCCCGTCGCAACCAAGTGTCGGTATTTAAAAATTCTGATTTCTATTTCACGAGATCATGCCCAGGCATCAAAGGCAACAGCTCGCCGTGTATTAATCGATCTGGCACACGGTACTGTCGAGTCAAAGACTAAGAACCATCGCCGGACAAGTGGAACGGGTTAAAGAAGGCTCTTGATGAACTGTAGAGGCCAAACTTGGCCGAAATAGGATTATGTTTCCCCCCTTCTTGTAGTAATGTGGGACTTTCACTGCATCTTTTGGGCCCTGCGGTGGCCTTGAAGCAAGTTCTGACCAAGAAGTACCACTATTTATTTACAATTTACGTGGTCACGAATACTGACTCACGTAAACATGCGGATAGCGTGAGGTCGAAGAGAGATGATAGGCTGAGTACAGACCTCTGTTCATTACTATTGGAACATCAAGATCGATTCCAAAGAGGAAGGACAGAAGACGAGACATGGGAGCACAATCTGGGGAACCTAAGGTTCTTGAAACTTGGTCATCGTATTGAGTTGAGGGAGTACAGCCTGGAAAACACTGCGCCAAAGCTTCTCATCCCAAGGCGGCAGGCTTGAAGAAGAGGTGAACTATTGACATGATGGAAAGGTCGCTCCTTGAAAATCGCCATTCTGAGATTCTCGGCTGTGGTAAGCTCGAGTGGCTGTCTCGGCCGTGCAATTCAGCTTGAGCGAGCGGCTTAGTGAAGGCATCCCGGACTGTCAAGAGAGGTCAATCTTAGAGGGAGGGGGATGTCTACTTTTCAAGATCGAACAATGGCGAAGAAAACACATTGAGACACGTACTTGCAGGAACTCCCGCTCCTAACAAGCATATTGTTACAGTCTTGATATACACAAGCTCTTCAATCTCGACTTCCACGACACGTTGCATAGACCATACCCATGAGTCAAAAAGAACCTCACGAAAGAGAAGAAAGTCGAACGTTGTTTGGAAAATTCCGGTCGTAACCATTGTGCTGTGCTGCTTTTTTGTGCTGTTTTCGCCTCGAAAAATCTCACCGTCCATTACCACGGCGTCCCCCTCGGCACCTCGGCACCTCAGCACCTCGTCACCTCGTCACACTCATATCCTCCTCTGCTCCCTTTTCAACGTTGCGACATCTCGTTTACTTCCTCTTGCGCTCGATGGCGTCCATCTTCTCTTCCAATACCTCGACGTACTTGGTCACGCGCTGGACGGCGGCCTGAAGTGCCTGTAGTAACGAGGTCTGGTTAGCTTTTCAAGTATTTGTGCAGGGTCTGTGGCGGTGATGAAAGGCATCGCGAGGATAGTCAAAGTGTGGGAGATGTGAGGGTGATCGCGCCGCGTCATAGCGAAACCGCACCGGGGAGCGTTCCGGTGCAGCGCACAAGACGTAAACAACACCACGCCTAGAACTACCCAAGGACGTAAAAGAGACCAGGGTGATGGACGCGGGAAGCTTCGAGGGGCAGCTAGGCAGGCAGATAATGAGATGGAATTACGCACGTAGATGTCCTCTGTCAGGAGCTCGTTAGAGGTCTTGTATTCTTGGAGGATGTAGGAGTAGACACCGGCGCCGGCGAGGGAGCTGCCGAGGAAGAAGCCAAACAGACTGCTCGAGGTTTGATTGGTTAGCAAAGATCTCATCATCTCTCTCCATATAGTCATGAAGTGGTGGCCGGCATCCCAAAACCCTCACGAGACCTAATTGGCCTTGTGGACGAGATGCAGGACAGCTGCGCCCGGGGCAGGGAAGCTCAAGACATACCCTCCGCGGAAAGCACCGACGGGTTTCCGGGCCGGCAGAGGCGCGGCGACGGCGTCGCGCAGGGGCGAGGAGGTCTGGAAGTTGCGGGCGGCGCGGAGAGGGAGGCCGGAGGCGCGGGGGAGGGCGCGGGAGACGATGCGGGAGGCCATTGTGATTTTCGGGTGATGTCGTGCGTTGGAGCTCGGTTATAGAGAGGGAGAATGCTCTGTCGGCGGGAGGATTGGAAGGCGACCCGGTCGGAATTGGACGCGGAGTGTGAGAGTGAGGAGTAGGGGGGAGTTCGGTCGGCTTGCGTGTTGGTGATGTTGTGTTTTGTGGTAGTGGTAGTGGTGGGAGTTATGGGGTTTGGAGATGGCGTAGACCAGGTTCGATGAGGTCGGTCGGGTCGGTGCTCTGGGGGCGAGGTACGGTTAACTTGGGCGGGAACCTGGAAGCTCTGTCCCAGCCGTGTTACGTCGTTTCCCTCTCTGCGGCGGCGCTGCGGCGCTGCACGGCTGTAGTGAGGTACCTCAGTCAGGTACCGCCTCCGCCTGCGCCGGACCAGCGAGAGCAAAGAGGGCGGGATTAGCCGGGACGCCATTGGGAGTATCCTATTGGCCAGAATAGGGCGGTCGACCAGCCGGCTTTTGCTGGGGATTGTCTGGGACTCTGGGGAGTGGCTTCATGATCCACTGAAGGGGGTTCGGGAATGCGGCTCATGGGCGCATTCGGCACTTGTCGGCTTTTGGGAGCATGGAAACTTGTCATGGCATTGGGATCCCCCTTGGAAGTTGTTTGAATTCTTTATTTGATATTAGTTATGAACCTAGATGTCAATTGCTTGAATGTAGTCGAGCCGAGGTCTCAATCCACAACCCGGGGAAGCTCTCTGCTCAGTGCTTGTCTGTAACCAACACACGCTCATTGGCCGATAATCAGCCACTCAACGTCGTCTCCTCTGATTCGCTACCAAAAAAGAAAAAGATCAAGCTCAGAGACTCCAGAGCCCAGAGAGCTCCATGTTAAACCACCACACTTCCGTCCTCCACCTTCTCCAAAAAACCCTGCCGCAACATCTCCAACCTCGAAATGAACAATTTTGGCGTCTACGAGCTCGCCAGCAGCAAAGTCACAAACGCCCCGGGATGGGCTTACGTTCCCGACACGGGCCTTAACCCGGCCGCCGCCGCCCTCCAGCCCGCGAACCGCAAGCGCGCCGCTCGAAGCAAGGCGAACCCAACCGCCTCAGACCTCACCGTCCGCCAGGAAGCCAAGATTCGCAAGGAACTCGAGCAGCTGGACCGCGACGGCGGACGTGATGCCTCAATACCCATCCCGGCCAAGGCCTCGAGAGGTACGCTTGTCCCCATTATCCCATGCCCCCCAATACGTTGTAGGGGGCGGACGTAGTGAAGCGTAATGCGACCACGAAACTAACGACGATTTGATGGAATCAAAGGACAGAACAAGAGCACGCCAGCGATTCGCAAAATCCTCCAGTCCCAAAAGACCTTCCACAACCACTGCGACGACCATCTCGCCCTCCTCTCGCACGCCGGAAACACGCCGGCGCCGCACCCGAACCAGCACACAGCCAAACCGGCCAACAAACCGCCCCATCCAAACCAGCACACCAAGCGCAACGCCGCCAAGCGCTCCAAGACATCGACGCCAAAGACGCCAGCGGAACCGGAAGACGTCCAGATGACGCCCGCACCGTCAGCAGAAGCGCCAGAGGATTCCGCGACGGCGATAGGCCCGGTGCTGACGCCCTACGATAAACCGGGCCCGGCGCCGCATCCCGGCGACGACGATCCGCTGCTCGTGTCGCGGGTACCTGCGATGCCGACGGACGAGGAGCTCAAGTGGTTGCTCTCGCGGCCGATGCTCAGTTTCTGGGACGCGAGGGCCGAGTGGGGCGACGACGATGCGCGGTATCCTGAGCGTAGTTTCTGCGAGGTATGTGGGTATTGGGGTCGGGTGAAGTGTATGAAGTGCGGAACGAGGGTTTGTGCTTTGGATTGTCTTGAGACGCATCGGGAGGAGTGTTTTACGAGGTACGGCATTTGAGAGGTCGAGGGCTTATTGGCTATGTTTTGGCAAAAGTTTGCTGGAGCACGTGTCATTGTTGTCGACGCTTTGCGATGATCTGTGGTAATGGGATAAACATGGATGGTAACTGGTTAGGCGTTATGATACCCCCCTTTTTGTCAAGCTTGTTTTATAAGGATGGAAAAAAGTGATTTGAATTGGATGGCTTTGATCGTCAACGGGTCTGGATTCAAGACAAAGATCCCCTATGAGGAATTTGTACAGATGCGAATGTTTCTTACAAGCGCGGTGTATATATATACGGTTGAAGATGTTGCCCCTCAAAGACGGCAGACAAACTCCGATCCCAGAACCCTTTTCATCAAAATCATGAAGCCACGGCACAGAAGATGCCTGTAGCAAGAAAGAAAGAAAAAAACGAGGCGTATCAACTGATATGAATCAACCGATATCAACAGCCTCTGTGAGAAGAAAGTGAAAAGAGAAAAGAGAGAGAACACATCAGGCATGACCAAACATCCCCTCATCCACCGCCCAGAACAACGCAAAGTTGAAAAACACATTTCAGCTTCTTACAAGTCGTCCATGCCAAACGAGTTCTTGAGCGTAAACTCCACATCGCCGACCGTCGCGCCGCCGGCGCAGACGGCGCGGAGGCTGCCGGTGGGGCACTTGTCGCGGGCGGCGCGGACGCACTGCTCCCACTTGGTCTTGGAGATGGTGATCTGCGCGCCCTCGACGGTGGTCTTGAGGCTGAAGCGGGCGGAGCCGGCTTGGCCGACGGTGGTGGAGGGGTTTCCGTGGCAGGCGTCGACGGAGCCCGAGATACCGCCGCAGATGGCGAGTTCTGCTGCGTTTTGGTCGTGGAAGACGATGTGACTTGATATTGGTGTTAGTTGAGGTTTCTTTTGTACCTTTGAATTTGATGGGTGAAAGGTGTTTGGTGTGATTTTTGGTGGGAGGGAGAGAGAGAGGCTAGGATGTGCTGGAAAGGGTATTGTGTAAGTCAGATTGGAGGAAAACGTACGCGTTGCGGTCGACGCAGGTGGCTTCCACCATGGCGGCCGGGTTCACGGGCTCCTGCATGCGCATGCTGAGGACCTCAAAGTGCTGCTGGGGCACGGTGAAGCGGGGCCAGTTGTGTCTTCCGGCCGGGGCGGCGAGGGCCGCGGTGGCTGTGAGGAGGAGGACAAAGGTCTGGATGAGCGTGGAGAACATGGTTGCGGTTGTTGAGTTGAATGAGAGAGGTTTTGGTGTAAGTGAAACTTTGAGGTCTTGATAGCTTTCCAGTCGTGGATATGGGATGGATGGAAGAAGGATTTTGTTTCGGAGAGTTCGTTGTTTGAGGGATGAACAAATCGATGCTTTGTAGGTTGAGAGTGACCTTTTGTGTAATGTTGGCTGGTCGATCGTGAGATATCTCGGGTGAGTTTGGTTTGTAAGTTTTGGTTGTTGGTCGTCGAGACGGAGGTTTGGTTTAGAATGGTGCGAAGAGGGCTTCTTGGAAGAAAGAATGGAACAGATCACAGATCATCAAAAGGTTGGAGAAAAAAGAAGGAAAGTGACTGTCAACAGACTGTCTGGATTGTTTCTTTCGAAAAGAATGTGGAAAGAGAAACAAGTTTCGAACAATTCAAGTTGAAGGAGAAGGAGAAGTAGAAAAAGAGTAGAGAGGACGAGCAAGCCACTAAGTAGGTTTCGCAAGCCGCCATATTCCCAATGGAACCAAAAATCCTTTTTCCCGCGCGCAGCTCTCACTTTGGGCTGTGAGCTATTACTAGGTTGCATCCGTAAGGTATTACTCTGTAAACTTCCTCACTTTCTCTTGTACACCACCCCCCTTGGACCCTGGGACCCCAGTCTTTGCAAATCCAAGAGCCGGCTTCCCCATGTCGCAATAAAGAGCGAGGGTCCAGGGGAGGGGTGGCGCGAAACTTGGCTGACTGTATCCGCAAAGAATGGCCTTCAACTTGGTAACCGCCTCTGGAAGTACGCAGTATGGAGCTCTGAGCCCCATTTCAATATGGATCCCTGATTCTCCTTCCCATTCTCGAAAGGCAAGGCAGGAAGAGAGAGACGCGGGCTGCGGGACGCGGAGCGGAACAGACGTTTGTCACGCTTGTGCGTTGCGTACGTTGCTTGCGTTGCGTGGATTGCGTTGCGTGCTTTCGTCTCTCCATAGCCACAGGTTCTCCTCTTTCCTGGTGCCGGCCCGGTAAGGTGAGGTGGGTGAAACTGGGACGGCTTTTTTTTTCCAGTACCCAAAGAGAATTGCGCCGGGATCGCTTCTGTGCCTTTGCAGATATGGTTCGCCTTGCCGCCTGCTTGAATACTTGCTCACTGGAGAGTCGAGACTCGGGACTCGGGACTCGTTCAAGCGGACAGCGTATGTGGGAGTTCCTCGACCTCGGTGGGTGTAGCACAGCTTCAAGTCCGCCACGTTCTGGTGCCTGGAGGCGGACGGGGGCCAGACGCTGTCGTCTGAAGAGGGGTTGTTCCCTACTAACCTTAGTATCATTAGAGTAGGTGTCACTAAAAGCAGAGCCTGTGTTTAGAGTCTGCCAAGAGCAGAATGGCTGTGTGAACGGATGAAACCAATGCCTCTTTTTTTTCCCCCGTCCTGGCCAGGCATTTCTTAGTCAGTCGGCCTGTACTATGGCGCTCTCTTACTCCCACAAGAGTGGTGTGGCCAGATGTCCAGGACATGGGGCGTCGTTCCCGCCCTCGGATCGCCGGTTCGCTGTTTAGAACGCCGCTGGGCGCATGAGATTCGATGCTGGGCGAGTTTGCAAGGGTAACACCACATACCATCAACTCCAAAGTGCGGGAGAAAGGGAGAGAGGGGAGCGTTCCATCGGATAAAGCCAAGCATCGTCATTCCATCATGCCCTGCTAGCCAACTATGGGACGGTGATGGACGCAGCCGAAGGGATGATCGGACACTGGTCTGCAGCGTGAACGCAGAAGCACAGAAGGTAAGGTAGTAGTCAAAGACCCCCTGAAGAGCAGAAAAACACCCAGAAGGATGGGAACTCTTAAAGGAACAAGTTTCGGTGATCACTTGGCCGTCCAATCGACACGGCGGCGGTCATCCGGAGTCGCAAGGTGAAACGGGGCCAGCGGCCCAGCGCTCAAAGTAGGCCGCCAGCCACGCCCCCCCCCCCCCCTTCCCTCCAAAGCGGCAGGCGACCTTGGCTTATTCGTGCGGTAGCGGTTGTCGGTAGGTACTCTCTCGCAACTGCTGCAACTTTGCGAGTAACGGTAGTCCCTTTCGGCCCAGGCGATAGGTGCCCATTTTAAGCCTTCTGAAACTCAACCGGTGGGGTCCCCTATCCCGGTATTCCCGCGCCTCTCCACGGCTGGCGCGACTTTGGGGGATCCATGGCTGTGAATACCACCTACCACAGTCGTGCAGTTGCCCCGGACTCGCCTCCCCTTTCTGGAGTGCATCTTTGGTGGTGGACGGTGGACGATAGGCTGAGGATATCTTTCCCGTCTGCAGAAAGAGAGCTTCAAAAGCGCTTGTTGTTTACACTTCTGCAGGATGGAGAAGGTAACGGACGCGGGGGTGTTCGATGATGATGCGTTTAGAGGTTGGGTGTTGCTTGCTTCTCTTTTCGTCTCAACTATCTTGATAAGCTGCTGCCGGTCAATAGGATGCGCAGCGATATAGAAGATCCCCGAGAATAGCCACAGAGTGCAATTCATTTCTAACCCCCCGCTGCTGCTACTGCTGGTACTAAGGTAGACAGTGGTCTTGGGTCTTTTGTTCTTCTTCATGCTATTACTTACCGATCAGTCATCTGTTGTTTATCAGATACTCTGGCGAATTTGCGCAGACTTTAGATCCCTTAACCATATTTTGTTGTCCTTCCTTCTTCGGACTCCTCGAAATCTCCAGTCTAGGTTCTTTTCCCAGATGCCGAGTAAGCGAGGCTATGTCGTCGCTTGGCTCTGGCGATCCCCGAGCTGATGATGACATTTCGATGATGTATTCTGCTCGACGGGCCTAAATTCGCGGATAGATATCTGACGTGCCCGCCGTGCGATCCCACGACCTGTCTTGAATCGCTAACATCCACTGAACGAATGCGATAGGTGTAATCCGTGTCCATACGTAGAGTCTTCATAGACGAAGCCGTGGTTCATGATCAACAACCCACTTCAAAAGGTCCCCCCTGGCCCCATCGATCGGCTGTCCTCCTTGCCTGGCCTGCTCTTTCTCCATGTTTCGTCCTTATTGTCCCCCCCTGGAGCCGACCTTTGTGGCCGAGGGGGGATCCCATGTTGAACCTGCCCGTGACAAGCGTGGGACTGTGGTGGCTTGACTCTTTGGACGAACCCACCAGCAAAACTTTACTTGACAACTTGACATACCGTCTTAAATGAATAAGAGCCGTTTTCGTAAATTGCGTACGAGCTGTGTGTACAATCCTTTGCGCAGGGGAAATGCGCAAGGGAAAAAGTTTCCTAGAATAACTATCCGATTTTGGAAAACAAATCAATCGCAAAAAGCTGTGCACCGCCAGGAACGAGCCCTACCGCCTACCGTCTGCGGCCCGTCATTTAGTCAGTCGACGAGGGTGCGAATAGTGAGTCGATATTAACATGCGCTCATCGCCTCATTCAAAGTCATGACTTGTTTGCTTCCTTTTTCCCTGCCCAAGAGATCCGTTTATACTTTTTCTTGTCTAATTGTTTGCGAGTATACGGTGTACCACGGCTGATTAGCAATAGACGCAATTTGTCATTATCTCGAGCTCATCTCTTTTGGCTGCAAAAGTCCTGTATCACTCCTAACCTTATCATGTGGTGAACCCAAACTCAGCCTTGCTTTTTTCGCTTGCTCTGCCCACAGACACCGCACACTCCAAAGTCGCCGGGGTTGAGATACTCGCTCCCCTGGCACGCGGCGCCCTCGCAGCGCCAGGCGTTCGGTACGCTTGCCGGGTCCAGCACGTGGGAGCAGACGGCGCACATTATCGACAAGGCAGAGTTGGCGAACGAGCAGACTCCAC